AACAGGAATAAATTCCATCCACACAAGTTGCTGTCTCAATTAGGGAGGCTACATGGAGGAGCAAGCAAGAAACAAGGGCCGGAAACTTTTTTATGTTGGTGTATTTGTTTTTAGAGATAAATCCCTTGGAGGTAGTAGCTGGGTTTATCATAATCCCTTCTTTCTGGGCACAGCACAATGGCTCTTCTCTTCCACCCTCACACTAGATATGGCCTGCAGACTTGCACTAGCCAGTGGAACAGCAGAAGCTGTGAGCATCTCTCCGGCACCAACAGCCAGAGAAGGAATCGCGGCACACCTTGCTTTGCAGCGGCACAGCAACCTTCCAGTACTGCTGCTCCCTTGGCCCGAGCCCTGCGTGAGGAGATGTGGACCAGGCCTGTGTGCCCACACGGGACATGAGATATGAGACAGAAATAGATCTATTTAAGCTCTCTGAGCTATACATTTATTTTATTTTATTTTTTTCCTATAGAAACTTACTATGACTGATAAGCTATGCTTAATTTTAGGCTGCACTGCCCAAAACTTGGAGAGAAGGGACTCAAAGACCCACTCTAAAAATCTGTTACTTACACTGCGTTATGTTTCAGGTCTAATATATGCACCAGCCCCGAAGGCGCATGTGTTGAAGCCTAGCTGCTTTTAGGAACTTGACTGGATCATGAAGGCTGTCACAAGAACTCACAGTCTGCTGGGATCACCGGGAGGTGGAGCAGGGCGAGGCCCGACGGAGGGCCTGGGGGCGTGAGCAGCCAAGCTAGTGGCGCCCCTTCCTCTGGGGCTCTTTGCCTCTCGCTCTACTTCCAGTTGCCCTGAGTTCAGCAGCGCTGCCCTCCGCACCCTCCGGCCACAGCGTTCAGGCCCAGAAACAAGAGGCAACTGGCTGTGAACTGAAACTCTGAAGCTGCGACCCAAAATGAGTCCTTTTTCCTTTAAATTGTTTTGTCACAGTTATAGAAACTAATACAATGTGTAATACAAAAAAACTGGCTTCATGCAAAGGAAGGCCAGGTCTTTGCCACTGACTTCTAGAAAGAAATCTATGGCATACTGAATGTGAGTGTCTTTTATTTCGGGCAGGGTTACCAAACCTGATTGATTTTAGGGTGAGGGCTGGCCACTCCAAAATAATCGGTGTGATTTAATATGGAAGCCCTGGTCATGGGGTATCTGTCGACTTGGAGAGTGAGCTACATATACAGTGAGCTACATATGCAGACCCATCCTAGGTAATGATGCCCAACCACACGCTAAGGAAGAAATAGGCAAGTAACCAGACGAGTCCTTACACTTAGCGATGATGTTCAGTATTCTCTCCTGAAATACACTAAGTGCCGTGAAATAAACTCGCTACCTAAGGAGATCAAAACCACCTGACTTAAACTTCCTAGACCACCTTCCTTTTTCTCTATTTATCTGGCCCTCCTGTCTTCAATGTGCTGAAGTGGCTAAAAGCATAAATTCCAAGTTCTATAACTACCCACTTGGCCCTAGGAAAGTTCAATTTTCTGTTTCTCCATGTACAGAATAGGAGAATGACAGTATTTACACTACAGAACTGTGGTGAAGAATTCTACTAAATTGTCATAGTCACCTGGGAAAGCAGGAATCTTTTCCTCTCATTTGGTCCTTCACTCCTCACTATCTGAATCTGGTGGACTAGCTTCTAGGAAGAACCACCTTCCATACTTCATCCTTCACCTCAGTTCATGCTGCCCCAGGCTATACCTTAAGCTTCAGAGATCCCAAGCACCCTACCCTGCCAAGCTCCTCCATCATCCAAATACCTGAGGAGTTTGTCACTTCCTGCCTTTACGCACTGCCAGACCAGAACATTTAGTTCTTTAGTTCTTTTAACCTCATCTCATAAATCAGTGCCTACATTCTGATTACTTCTCCATTATCTGTGTGAAAATATCTCCCTCAGGCCCCTTGTCTCCACTATTATTTTTAGCTGGGTCCTTATATTAGATGTTTGCACTTTAAAAATAGATATAAATAAAAGTGA